TATTTAGGGTTTAGGGTTTAGGCCCGGCCTAGGTTTTCAGGGTTTAGGGTTAGGGTTGTGCTTAGGGTTTAGGGTTCAGGGCTTTAGGGCTTTAGGGGTTTAGGGGTTTTGGGTTCAGCGTTTCAAATTCGGGGCTCTGTTCAGGGGGAAAGGGCCTCGGGCTCAACACCAAGTTGTCAAGCTCAGGGATAAGGAGTTGCGGCCGCGATCACGGGTGTGAAACTCTTCAAACCCAACCCTCCATCCTACATACAAAACCGAATCCCAAACCCCAGAAACAAAGCAGCTCTGGGACTCTGCGTCTGAGTGGTTGAACATCGGTGCCCCCGCGCAAAACTGACCGATGCACAACAAGTGGAGTTTCATCCTAGATACCACCTGACCCTTGAGCCTGACCGGCATCCCGAACTCATTGAAGCTTAGTCCTTTGCCCAAACCTGGCTGCACAACGATCCAACCACCAGTTGAACACAAGAACACGCATGCTGGCAACACTGGCAGTGACAGTGAAGATCCTCATAGTGCATAATTATGATTTGATATTTTGACATCAGCATATTCGGATGGTGACCCAATGAGCTTAACGCATTTTTGGCGATGGGACAAACACTCAACGAACCGAATCCGTCAACCCGAAGCCTCAACGATTATGAATTTAAAACCATGATTCCTCGCCCCAAGGCCGCAAAGCGACATGACTGAAACCCCCAAACCTCTCCAAAGCCCATAAACCCCTAACAAGCACAGGTTCTCTGCAAGCCCCGAGTCAACCCGCATTAAACCTCTAGTTTGTAAACAGTTCTAGGCCTATCTCTTAGCAACAAGAATGACAAAAAAAAAGGCTTCTCTCCGAAGAAAGCACTGTGTTCTTGAGGGGAGGGCGACGTACTTAAACCCCCAACACCCTGTATCCCTACAAACCCTGAGCCCCAGACCCGAAACACCAAACCTCAGACCCCGAACCCCAAACCCCTAAAGCCTACACTCCTAAAGCCTGCAAGCCATCAGCCCTCTTCTTGACATGGCTCGGTCAATCCCGCCTTCATCGGCTCTGGAGCGATGACCTTCAGCAGGTCTTATCAAGGATCTTGGACCAGGGTAAAAGTGGCCTCGTCAACCCCTTACAACACCCCCCAGTTTCATGCAGGTTTAGAGTTGGTAGGGGGCGTTGGTTCAAGGATATAGTTCAAGATGTGTGCACGCCGGATTCAACCCCTCGGGGCGTCGAAGCTGTTGACCGGTTTAGGGTTTAGGGTTGAGGGCGGGTTCATCCTGTTTGAACCATTACAGGTGCCTGGAAGAGCGCTTTCGCGGCGCCACGACGGAGAAGGGAAACCCACAAACTCCCTAAGCGCTAAACTCCCGAAGCTCTCAAACCCTAACACCTACTTGTGCAGTATCATGGGGAACTAAAGGCTAACCATTGGGGATCATAGAGAGATTATAGTACCCCAAAACGGTTTTCAAGTTTACCTGAAAGCTGCAGGCCACCTCCATGACGAACCCCCCCTCTCCCCCACCGGCACACAATGGGTTTAGGGTTTAGACTCTCGCGACTCGGACGATGCAGCCAAGGTTCATCCAGGTTCAAAGGCTTTAGGGGTTTAGGGAGGGTTTAAATTAGGGCGTCCTAAACCCTACAGCCGATCAACACAAGCCTAAACTCTGTCGCACAAGTGGCTGACAGGTGGGCCGACAGCCGCGGCCCATTGCCATAGTGGGGTTTAAGATGAGTCCCCGGGTTGAGGCGCACCTCTGCTTTCTGCTGTGGGCTTCTGGGTCATCTAAGGGCCTTCTTGGTTAGGTTCGCGGAACTCTGGTGCTGTCACTATAGAAGCTAGCAGGAGATAACTATACATATGTGTGCATGTGTACATAAATATATATATATATGTATATATGTATATATATATATCTGTGTGTATACATTCATTTGTGTACCTGCTTGTGTGTGTGTGTGTGGGCGCATGTACTGATTCTGTACTGAAGTCTCGTACAGATCCCATGCTTCGTGCCGCGGGTCTTAGTCAAAAGCGTGATGATGCTGGCCAAGTGATGTAATTTCTTTCAGCTGAGTCATTCATGTGATTGGGTTTTGGCATACCTCGCTTGGTTCATCGTCAATAAGAGATGTCAGGGTTTAGGGCTTGAGTTTTCTTGGTCTCTCTCTTCACCTTCGTGCAGGTTTACAAAAAGCCGTGCCGCGCCAGGAATCCATGTTTGCTGGCACTGGCTTGTCGAGCTTTACTGTTGAACCACATTGTCGTGCATGTTGTGTTTGATCTGGGTCTTCGGATGTCCAGGCTCGGAACTCAAAATGCTCCGCTCACCGGTCCCATACCCTAAACACTGCTGGGCCTCTGAACCCTCTGCGACTCTAAACCTTGAGTTTCCTAAATCCCAAAGTCTAGCCCCTAGACGGCCCTACGGCAAAACCCTGAGACCTATGGCCCTATCCTAGTACTCAAACCCTCAAGACCTAAATCAGAAACCAGATAACGAGGGTCATGTTATACTAGAGTACAGTACTTTTCTCAATGTCTACTATACTGTTCCACATCATGTGATACTGCATAGTGTCATAAATGCGCCAAGGCCCCCCGGCTTAATCTAGAAGCCTCAGAAACAAGCGAAACAGGGCCTTTCTGTGGCCATGCCTACCTGGGTAGTTCTCTAAATGGAGGGCCCTGCATGTGCAGGTCCCCCCAAATGGTACGGGGCCCTTGTTAAAAAAAAACAAACAAGTGACCCTCATTTGGAGAATTACCTACCTATTGTTGTAAGCTGAACAGCAATGCAGGGGTCCCCAACAGTATCTGTCAACCAATACCGCTACAGGACCCTTTGGGAATCTGAAGCTCTTCCCCAAGCGCCCTCTTAACCCAAGCGCCCTCTTAAGCTACTACCACCACTGCCACATGGCAGCTTGCTTCGGTCTGGCGGCATAGTTGACGTTCATGAACTTGCACTCGTTGATCTCCGGACGCGTCTTGATGAGCTCACAAGTCATGGGCGCAAGCTGGCAGAAGACCTGCACAAAGGGGTTGACTGGTAGTACTGCTTCGTCTGCGGCTGTGTCATCTTTGCCATGGCATATCAATTGCTTTTTGTTTTTGCCGCAATGTCCAAGGTTCAGGGTCTACTAGGTTCAGGTAAGGCTTGGGAGACAAGATCACATGATCCACTCCCAAAAGAATCCTTGCAGCATCCTTCTTTCGCCATATTCTGAACCACCCACCACCCTAAAGCGTAATCCCTACTACCCAAAACGCCTGGAAAAAATCTACAAAACCCTTGCAAAGCCCCTGAAAGCACTGGTCGATCGCCTCGAACCAGTTATGGTAGCGGACGATGCGCAGAGTGTCCCAGCCCCCCGGCGTTGCTAGGTGCTCCCGGGAGGGGTCGATCTTCATAAGCTGACCATACCTTCAGAGAAGATATAGGGCTCAAGGCTTAGCCTTTGTACCTTGGGGGAAGGCCTCATGGGCTCAGGGATGCTTGGGGACTACAGTTTGAAGTTTAGGGTCGCGGATCTTCGCTCGAAGGCGTAGGATCTACGGCCCAACCCATACATCCAAGTAGCCTCTCAGAAGCAAAAATCAACGGAAGCATCCCTCCTTTTCTGTGCCCGAGGGAGCTCGAGGCGATGCGTGGACTTCGGGACTGAAGGGGATATGGTTTTCAGCACTCACACTCGGACTTGCCTAGGCGAGGGTTCTAAAGTCGGATCACGAGGGGATACGGCTTTAGGGTTTAGGAGGGTTTGGGGGTAGGGTTTAGGGTTTAGGGCCTCTAGGGTTTAGGAGTCTAGCCTATAGGGGTTTACACGGCGGTTTAGAGTTTTTTCCCCGCTCGCATGGCTAAGGATCTATGCCCACAAGCGAGGTGGTCCTGGGGAACTGTTTAGGGTTTAGGGTTTGGGGTTTAGGGTTTAGGGTTTCAGACCCCACAGAAATCTAGGTCTTGGTAGTTGAAAGTAGGGCGACAGGGTGTGTAGGGTTTAGGTTTGGGGTTCAGTTATACGCTCAGTCCCAATCCCTGCACGTTGTAGACATTGCAACACCCTAGATTGAAGACGTGGAAACTAGAAATCAAGGCAAATATTAAAACAAACAATAAAGAACGACAGAAAAAACACAAAAGAAACAGAAAAGGCGGCCATGGGACGTTGTACTTTTGTGTTTGTTTGCTTATGCTTTATGTGTCGCTTTGTGTTGTGTGTGTTCCTTTGCGCTTTCTTTGTGTCTGTTTTTGTGTCAGTTCTGTTTTGGTTTGAAAATGAAACAAACACAAAACAAAACAAAAAAAAAACACATAAACTACAACCAAAAAAACGAGCCTCAGGCACGGGCGCCTTTTTTGTGTTGTTGTTGGTTCTCTTGCGCTTTCCTGTTGTGTTTCTGGCTCCTGGCCTGTTTGGTGCGGTTTGTTTTTGCTTTGCTTATTTACGCTTTTTTAAAATCTTTTTGTATCCTAGAAGTTAAGGGAATGCATTTCTTAACCCAAAATGAGATCGCTTGGCGACCTGCTACGAAAACGTATAAAATATTGTCGTGAAAAACCCAACGTAGAATAATCTAGTACAACATGATGTAACCATATATAAGATAAGGTGAGACAAGATAAGGTAAGGCAAGGTAAGACAAGTAAGGTGAGATCAAATAATGTTGAATATAGTATGTACATATGATACAGCAAAAAGTAATAGTAATTCTGAGGTTCATAATAATGATGGTAACAAGATAAAGGCTGGGGCGAGACGCACATCTCCTGGCTCGTTCAGGATCGCTTGAAGCTCTGCTTTGAAGATGTGGTGGTGCTCCTCCAGCCACTTGCCTCGGCGAAAGGATTACGGCTTAGCAGCTGCAGGGTGCAGAAAGTTCTGGGATCAGCAAGAACACACAAATAAGTGTACAATGAGTTTACCCGGTTTACCCCAAAACCCACGCTCTAGGATTTGGCGTTCCTGGCTGACTTAGAAGAATCTAGCCCCCTTCACATAGCTCAGACACTCACACAAGTCTTCCAGAAGAAGAGAGTAAGAAAAGACCCGTGAAACCGTTGAAGACCCAGCCCGGGCAGTTAAAGTTTGGGTGTCAAAGCATGAGAAAGGTTCATGGCCTCGGGCTCATGTAGGTTCCGGGTTCGTTGATGGGGCACGGGCGTCATGGTTGGGCTGCACTGTTTTTTGCTGTCCGGTGCTGGCTGCTCCTGCCGCCTCGATGCGATCTCTACTCTCTAAACCTCTAGACTCTAAACCACTTCTCTATCTTCGTATGCTAAACCCCAAAACCCTACACCCCAAGCCCCAAAGCCCACAACGCTACACCCTGAGCATTGGGATTAACATCCCAACCCCGTTTGCAGCTTCTCATCTTCCCAAGCCCCGGCCTATCGGAAGCTCCGCCGTGGCCCAGATAGGTCTCGAGGGCTTCCCCGCGAAGATGATGGAGTTGAAGTTCACCTAGTTCTGGTGGTGCAGAGAGTTCAGGGTTTTGGGGTTTTGAAGTTTTTTTGTGGGTTTTGGCTTCTTTCGCTTAGGATTTTCGAGTTTCGGTGCTCACAACTCCGATGATCCACGAGAGGCAGATGTCTGTGGGTCGACTGAGTGAAACCACTTTGTGCGCGACCACGAACTACGGCAGGGTATAGTATAGTTTAGTCCAGTCTAGTCTAGTCTAGTCTAGTCTAGTCTAGTCTAGTCTAGTATAATATAGTACAGTAAAGTATAGCATAATTAGCATAGTATAGTATAGTATGACCTAGAACATGTGTAAACTTGCTAAGAGGAGAGTCATCAGTCCAAACTCGAAACCGAAAGCCTGTTGTTCATGCTTAAGCTTCAGGTAGCTGAGGGTCTCGGTGGCTGCAACTAGGCTACCTTGGTAGGAAATCGCAAATAAATGAAATAGGTGATGACAAGTCGGCAGTGTCTCAGGCAAAGTGTGACCAAGGGGAAATCTTCACGATTTCGGTTTCAAAGACCGAACAGAATGGAAACGGATACCAGCTTCGCCCCTTCCCATCGAGCGGTCGACAGTCAATGAAGTAAAAGTTTCTCAAAGCCTGCAATGCCAGCGAACTGTTGCGAGCGAAAAAGGCTCCATGTTTATCCCATGAGCGATAACCATCACGAATGGCGCATACCGTTTTGATTGGACCCAATGCACATATCACCCAGCATGATTTGGGGTTTAGGGCCCTGGGGTTCGACTCTCACACTGGCACTTGGCAAGCAAGGCGAAAAAAGGGTGTCCACGGTTTGGGGTGTGGGGGTTTAGGTCCCTCTTCAAAACCCAATCCCCTCTACATAGCGGTAGATTGTAAGACCCGATAATATCCTACCGCATCCTCCAGCCTGTAATTTTGGGCTTTCAGAGAATCAAGGGCCCCAAAACACAAGAGGTTAATCCTACGCGGCATAAAACACATTCAAAATCTCATGCGAGTACTTCCCTCGTCTTCTCCCACACCCATAATTTCTCAGCAACAAGCACTTAACCCAAACGCTGAACAAAAGACATAAAATAGGCTCAAGCCCCTTCAACCCGACAAAATGCGGCGAAGGTCACGTGCCCCGGCGAGGTCCAACCACTGGACACTGGCTCGTACTTCTGCACGCGCTTGATGCCCTCAAGGAGCTCTTGGGCCTTCTTCCTGGTCCAGGAGACTCGGGTTTCCGGTCTAGGGTTTAGGGTTTTAGGGTTATAAGGTTTAGGGTTTCCGGTCTAGGGTTTAATGAGCTGTGATGGCGCTGCTGGTGGCGGTGGTATGGATGATTTTGGTGGTGTCGATGATTTTGAGGCTCATGATAATGAGGACCGCGGTAATTACCGGAAGCGACTCTGCTTCTTTCAGTTGTCACGTCTGGGGCCTTTAGATGGACGGCCGCGTATGGAGTATGCTACTGCAGGGTCGTCTTACACATAGCTTGGCGGCATTTGTTGACTATCCGAGAACCGTTGATGGGTACCTTTTCTGACGACGAGGACGAGTCGGAGCAAAAGCAAGACCAAACGATGAAAGCGGAGCTTAACTTTAACCCGAGAAGGAACCACAAAGGGATAACCTTAATCATAATTCCGAAACCCCCCCCCCCCCAGAGAATATTCACCCAGCTGGAGCTTCTGATAGGCTTGCTGCTGCGACGTGGTGTCCGTCTGGGCCAGCCAGTGGTACAGCAAGATCGCATGCGTCCAGCGGATGTCCTCGGCCACTCCACGGGAGTTTTGGGTTTGGGGTTTACGTTTCAAGTCGTGTTTAGGGTTTAGGATCTAGGTTTAGGGTTTCGACTCACACACTCGCAAAGCAGGCATGGCGGTTATGGTCTGAGCTTTAGGGTTTAGGGTTTAGGATCTAGGCTTCAGCAGTCATTGGCGCTTAGGGTGCAGCTTTGGAACATGCGATCAGATACCTCGGAGAGTCTACCAATCGAATGCTAATCTTCTACTAGCCGAATACTAAGCTAGTACGAACTTACTCCTAGAGCATTTCCAAGCTGAGCCACATAAGCTTGTAACCTACATCCTCTACCCCAAACCAGTATTCCAAACTGATCCTGCGACTTGCAAACAAGAATAAATTTAGAAATTCATGAATCACAACCATCATCGTCATCACGGGCGGCTAGCTAGCTCGCAACACGAAGTAAAGTCCGAGGCAAAGCGGCGCAGGCATTGTCGTGCCAGACTTCATAGGAGTGCTCTGGCTTACAGTCACTGACGTAGATGCTACGCTCAAAGAGCTCTGCAGAAGAGAGGATGTTCTCCCAAATGAGCTCCCCGGTGCTCCGGAACCATCCGAACATGTAGAGGACCTGAGATAAGACGAGGCCGAGGGTTTGGGATGGTTCAGGTTGATCTTGCTTCTGCGTCTGCTGGCTCCCGTCAAACATGCGTTCTTGCTTTTCTTCGTCCTTGTCTGTCTCATAACTGTCACGCTGTCCGAGTCCTTTCTCTGACAGATGACACTTAATACCCTGACGCCTACTACATGGTGGACCCTATCGGTTTAGGGTTTTGGGTTTGTATCCTAAACCCTGAATTCCAAACCCTAAACACTGTTCCCTCTCGACCACGAGCCTGCGCCCCTGCCAGCGCCAGCACTGGGTTCGCATAGGCCTGATGCCCTTAGCCCAGCTATGCAACGTTCAAAGAGAACGGGCTTTAGGATTCTAGATCCCGCGTTGAGGGTTGGGGTTTAGGGTCTGGCTTTAGGTTTAGAGGATGTGGTGTGCAAGTATCACCAACCGGGCAGCAATCCCAGCAAAGCTCACATACACACGCACACACCAACCGAAACAGCTTAAGTTTGAGTCAAAACCCTGAACCCCCAGTCAAGACCCATGGCAAATACTGAAGTGCTTTGGAAACTGAGCCCATGCGAACGCCCCTGAACAGTGAAGGAGCCACTTCTGTTGCCGTCATGCGCGCAACCCTAAAACCCGAAGCCCGAAAGCACTAGAAGCTAGAATCCAAAATCCCGAACCCAAACATTAAAACCTGTACCATCTGAGCTGGCCCGATCGACAACAGAATCTGGTATGTACATTATACAGACAGACAGACAGACAGACAGACAGACAGACAGACAGATGTAATACGATACATATATATATATATTCATTTATGGACATGTCTACTTTACTTATTTCCGTTTCTGCTTGTTTATATTCTTTTGAATCATATTTATCCTTATATATATCCTTGTGCTTATATGTATGGTGTTTGGGACCCTCAGCTGAGTCAAGGGCGGAGCGCCTCCACCTCTTCGAGCTGCGTTGCGTTGAGGGACGGCTTCTTCTGGCCCTCTTGGGGTTCGTAGAAGAGGTCCTGGCTGCTAGGTTTAGGTTATGGGGTTTGGGGTTTACGGTTTGGGGCTGCTGCCATAAAGGGATTTTTTCGCCTCCCAAGGGTTTAGGGTTGAGGGGTTGAGGGAGACCGGGCTTCGGGTAAAGATATGTTGTGAATTCTTTCCGGGCTCTTCACTTCTCTGCAATGGGCTGGTGACTACGCCGTGTGCATCGCTTCAACATGCAAACAAACATACAGTGCTCCGTCTTGCTTCCGACACCTGCAAAGGCTGGTCAAGCACTTTTGTTGGCTTCGGATGTTGTTTTGAACCCAGGCTCTGCCAATCAGCTGAAACCCTAAGCCCTTTTTGAGCAGGGACTGCAATGCACTAAGCCCTGAATCCTTTCAGCCACGCCCTAAACCCCAAAATGGTGAAAGGCTGCTTGCTCCCCCAAAAACAGGTGGGCTGGGCAGCCTTGCCTCGAAATACCTTACTGCCGTCCCCTGGTTGAAGAGGTCGTACTCTGCAGAGACCTGCGGCAGGGCTGGCCCAATTTCTAGAATATCAATAGGTGGTTAAAATTTCATCACTATCTTTAGCACGGCTTACTTACTGATGGAAGGACTGATACACAGTTGACTGGGGTGGGCGAAGGGGTTCCACGACCTGAGGACGGAAACCACGATCGTTTCACGGCCAATTCCCTGTCGAGTCTTTGAAGTATGACAGTATGACCCTAAACCCTTCCACCAAGCCATAACCCCAACCCCGACAACCTGACACCGCACTTCGATCAAAACGGTGGCTCGAGGTAGTTGCTCCCAAAGCACTACATTCTATACCCTGAGCCCCAAAGTTCATCATCGTTCATCAGGGTCTCAGCAGATACCGACATGTATACGAATACTACCCTAAACCCTAAACCCTAAACCGACTTCTGAATGGCATCCTCGAAGTTGAACTTTGTCAGGGCGTTCGTTGGCACCAAGCTGACCTGCACAACATCAAACGATTGGCTGCCAGATGCCGGGGATGCTCGGAGGTTTGAGAACCTGTGCATGTAAGAGTAGATTTTGATACTGGAATACATGCAATGCATACACACACATACACATAGACACACGTGTAACATGTACATACACAACTATAGACTCCTCCATTCCTGCGTTCCTTCCTTCCTTGATTTCTTCGTATATCTTCCTTCCTTCGTTCACTCGTTCGTTCGTTCGATAGCAACAACCTACCATGTTTTGGTAAGAGTATGAACTATCAGCGGCACAGGTTTGAGCCGCATCGGTGGAGAAGCAACTAGTCGGCATCCTCGCCGCCGTCGTGACGGCAGCAGCCCTGGAAAATATTACTGGTTCCCTGCTGGGGCCATATTAAGGATGATCATTTTGAATCCTTTTTCGGGCTTTACTATAACAAAAATGTTAATTTGTATCCAACAGTGACCCAGATTAGCTGTTCTGGCTTTCCTGGTCTCCTAAAGGCTCCCTAAGCCGATCTTAGGCTCAAAGCCCCGGGACGAGCGAGTCCGCACGCATGGAGCCTTTACCGATGCGAAGAGAAACAAAGCACATGTGAGGAGGACCTGGAGGTAGGAGACTTAGTATAGTATCTGGCGTGCAATGCAGTATGGTCGCGTGCTGTGCCAGCAACGACTGGCAATGCTCTGCAGGCCTGTGCGGGCTAAATGTGCCTGAAATCGTGAGGGAAACCTCCGCATTTCAGAAGGACGGCATCAGAAGTGAGCGCTCAAGGCACAAGGACAAAAACCGTAGGGGGCTCAGGACTACAGGGTGTGCGGGCTAAGGAATTGAGATATACAGGCCGAATGGTAGCATCCTTTCCTGTTAGACTGTCAAGTTAAAGCAATCGCCTCGATAAGCAAACATACCTTTAGATCTAGGCGCAAGAAAAGCAACCAGAACCAAACCCTAAACGCCAAAAACCTTATAAATCCCTAACTAAAGCAATGCAGCAAGAACTGCCCCAGACATCTGAGGGCTGTATCGAAGGAAGCACTAGAAGCACAAGAATCAAACCCTAAACCCTAAAACCTTACAAACCCCTAAAACCCTGAACCCTAAACTCAACAAACCCAAACGGACCCAAACCCCAGGGTCCCGGGCCAAGACGAGGATAGCACTCCGCAGATGCATGGCTGCACGAGGCAAAGATGTTTGGCCACAACGGAACATGAAAACCGTAAACCCTAAAACCTAATCCACTAAGCCCTAATCTTAAACCCTAAATCCCATGAACCTGCAGGCCCGCAGGTGTGACTTGTGAAGATAGCTGCATATGACAGGCTAGACTCGGCTAGGTGATATCGAATGCATGGTTCCATCTGTTCGCGTGCTGCTGTGTTGGCAGTTCCTGTCTTCAGTCAGCTACGTACTATAAGTACTATAAATAGCTACTATAAGTGATCATACTTACTACAAGTACTTCCTGTCAGCCGAATGAGCCCGAGTTCTTTCACTGCTGTGCAACAAGCACGCGTTTGCACTTCTGGTCGGCACTCTTTCATGGGTTTAAGTCCGAAACCTTCAAAAAACTCTGAAAATCCGCATGACATGCATTCAACCCCTCATGTAAGCATCTAACTAGCCGGGTACAAGCATGCCTGGACTACCTGGAGTCTGGAGGCAGGAAAGCATGGAAGGTCAAACGCTGAACTGCAAAAAGTACTGCGCCCAGAGACAAGCTTGGAATCAAAATCATCATCATGGCCATCATGCGCTGATGCCAGATCTCACAATCAAGCCCTAAACCTCTCTGCCTCCAGGCCTATTGCGACTGCCCCAAACTTACCCCAAACCCTGAATCTGAACCCTCTTGTTCAGCCCGATGCCCCTATAAACCTCAAACCTATCCGACACTGGGAATTAATAAAGGGTATGGAGTTACAGAATTGAGGATTTAAAGAATGTTTCTCAAGGTTGCAGGATTGGGGTGCAAACTCCCCAACAAGCAAATCCCTAAACCTTTGAAGGTTTTGGGGCGTTGAACCTCCGTGTTCCAGGTGGCGCTCGAGAAAATGTCGGCTGCACCGCGGTTCCCCGGTGCGAAGCTGCGCTGTAGCTGCAGGGTGGCCGACACATTAGCTTGAATGCTTTTCCATGGGTGCAAATCCTGTTCCCCTGCTGGAAGGATATATGACCCTAAAGCCTAGTGTCTGCACGACAATGCCTCTCGTTAAATTAACTTGACATGCAAAATCATCCAAGTTCTCCTTGGGAACAGCGTAACTTAGACATGGGGGCCATGCGCTGTTCGCAGGGATCCGCAAACATATCCGATGAAAACTGATGTTAACTCCTACTTGGGGCATGTCTCAGAAGTGGCTGGGCCATCCTGTTCGACTCAGGTTATGAATCATGGCACTTGATTCTGTAGGACGCTGTATGCCGCTTTTGAGGCATGGCCCATGACCTGGGAAGCTGCTTCGCAACAACCCAGGTCCGAAAAGGCAACCCAAGTCTTGTCTAAAACCGACGGCCGGAGACCAAGAGGCACATAAGTACCGAAACCGCCTAGGGCGGGGGCCCTAATATATAATTAGAATGTGGCTCTACAACAAGAGGGGTATTGTAAGGGTCTATACGCGTACTAAGGGAGCGAGTATCTGGCAGGACGAAAGATGGAAGGACCCCTAAATGTATTTCAGAACAACTCTGGGGGCGCCATGAGGGTTCACCAGGCTCGAGTAACGACTGATCGCAAAACCCCCAGAACCCGAAAGCCCTAAGCGCCCTCAGCCGCCAAGCTCTTGACTTTGCTCCTGACCGGGTCTGATCACACGCTGCGGCCCCTGTTTCTGGTTTCTGATTGAAGGGTTAGGCGGTTAGGGTTTCGACTCTCATGCACACTCGCACGAGGCCAGCAAAGCTCCGCATAGTTCTGTTTCCGCTGCAACTAGGGAAAAGGAGAGAGATAGAAATCTCGGAAAGACAAACAAACAAAGACATACAAGGCGTTCAAACCCCAAAACTAGCAGTCAGACGCTCTCTCATGTGCCTGGGTCATTGCTCATCTGTTTCAAAAGATCTCGCTCACAAACTGCTCGCGGAAAGGACTGCGTGCAGTACAGTGCGCGACTCCCAATAACATATCATCAAGGCAGTAAAGTAATACATGAGTGGAGTCACAAAAAGACATACCATGTGGTAGGTCATCGGCGAAGTGCAAGGGCTTCAGAGTTGGGCTTCTTGGACAGTCGCAGTCCCTATTGCCTCAGCACATCTTGTTCACATCTCATGGCTCTAAAGGGGCTCAAGCTCGTGCAGATCCACATCATATTGCTCACCAGCCACACACATGCACCTTTACACCTAATTCATCTGCCTCTGTAACCACGCTGCCAGCCAGTAGGAACACCTGCAGTCATACTCCACGGATAAATTCGCAACGATGAGCCCATCCAGACCATAGTGGCACATCGCTCAGGCACATGCTGCAAACTCATGTCAGGTAAGTATTGCATGCAATGAATGTCCAAGCATGTACTACAGTAAATTCCACACATTCCAAGCATGCAATGCATGCCACTCAATGCAGTTGATGCACTGAGCATCCTAAATTCCCTGCAGCTGTCGGAGCCTTCACATGCAGAAAGTGAATTCATTGATGTGCTCAATCCTGTAAACTCATAATCTACACTGAATCGTGCAGATTCAAGAGATATCCAGACGAGCCCATGTGCTTGTCGATCCAGGGTTCTACAGACCCAAACGCGAACCACGCAGGTAGCTTGTCTGTCCACTCTCCAGCAGCTGCCAGCATGTAAAGACCACGTACGAACCCGAATTCTCCGAAACAAGCCTTTCAACATTTCTTGTAAGGCTTCCTGCCATCCATGTCCTCCACTATCACTGGTCGGCAATATGCCAAGTAGACTCGCGTCACGTGATCCCAATACTCAGCCACCATCGGTTGAGTAGCCACACGCGGCACCTGAGATCTCAGACCTGTCAAGAATGCCATCAGGTGCAACGGCAAGTAAGCAGCGTCCACTTCATCAAGCGAGCGGAGCAGGCTCAAAAGTCCATGAACATTCAGTCCTGTGAACAGACTCGTAGGCGGAGGCAGCAAAGGCTAAGGAAAGATCATGGCTTCACCGGGTAAAAAAGGCCAAGGAAGTGCCCAGGTTTGGTGATCATTTAGCCCTTTGGCTTGAGCCAAAATGGTACGGAAGGCTTTAGAGTCTAGGGTTTATGGTTGAGGGTTTAATTAAATACATTCCAGCACTGCCCAAACGCTGAAACCGACCGAAGGCACCCTACAGAAACAGGATTCTGTCGCTCCCCTCCACCTCGGAAACCACCGGCACCCTGCTGGGGGGTGTCACACACACCCGAAACCCTAAACCCTAAACGGGGTATCCATGGTGTCCATGTTTACGCTCTCACAACTCGGACAAGCCAGGCGAGGTTCCATGGTCGCAGGTCGGAGTGACACAGACAGCTGGCGTACCTGCCTGGTACTATTGGTTGAGGATCTTTAGCGTCGGCCGTAGCCGTAGGCCGTGTAACTTGCGAAGCGATGTAACAGTACTATATAGGGGCCTTAGTCATTGGACTTCGCCACCGTCCGAGCAGCCCATATCCACTTGCCTCTACCACCTCTTAGGGAGACCTTATTGTTTAGAGGGCAGGATAGACTGTCAAATTGGGCGTATTTTACGTAATTTCTGATCAACGACCTGGTGCAAGAACGCTGGTATACCTAGTCGGGTCCGCAAGGATGTTATCCAGAACACCACAGCATCCATCCCGAAGCCCAGCCCCCAACCACAAGCCCCAGACCGTAAACTGTTGGCGCAGTGGCCTTAGACTACCCTCGGCCCAAGCCCAAAACCAAAACGCCTGAACCAGAAACCCCGAAACTTCAAAGCCCTCAACCCAAAGCTACCGCCTAAACCCTAACCCCTTAACTTTAAACCCTATAAACCCTATAAACCCAATAAACCCAATAAACCCTATAAACCCTATAAACCCTATAAACCCTAAACCCAAAAAAAACAATAAACCCTATATACCCTAAACCCTATAAGCCTATAGGCCCTAATCCCTAAAGCCCTAAAAACCCTTCGCGACTCAATCTCCTTTGGCTCCACTGCTTCAGCTCCTCGCGGGCAGGGTCCATGAATCGCCTGCGATTTTTCCCCTTAGGGTTTAGGGCCGTTTAGGGATTAGGGCTTATAAGGTTTAGGGTTTAGGGTTTATAGGGTGTAGGGTTTAGGGTTTAGGGTTTTCAGGCTTAGGGTTTTGGGTTTTGGGTTTAGGGCGTGGGTTTTTCTTTATAGAGGCTGGCTTTGGAAATCATGAGAGCCATGCGTCATGCCTTTCTCATCCTACTTTCCCTTGTGATGCCAGAAACATACTTCAGGTCGTCAAAAGTCGTTGCAAGCGGAAGGTTACCAAAGCAACTCTCCTCACCAGCATCCTCCACGTCACTGCAGCAAGACGACGAGGAGCGAGCATTCAAAAGCCATCAACTCGCCCCTACGTCTGCCCTGAACTCTCAACGCGTAGTTGAGGAGGTGTAGGAGTTTCGGAAGTAGCCTTGCGAAGTTCGGGCGCAATAAGAAACGAGTCAAGGGAAAATGATAACACAACAATAAACACAGAAAGCTGAGCCGTGACACTGGCCCTCGGACAAGCCAAGCCCGGATTGTGTAACGACATTCTGACACGTGTTAAGGCCTTAGACAGGCTACAGGAAATCCCATACAGACGATCCCATTAGGACTGTCGATCTTATCACCCACACCAACCCGACGAACCGCATTAGGGATGACGGTCGGAAGTGGAGAGATGCAAGGGTCCACTCTTGCAGCCTTATGAAGGAGTGACGCTTTGCACTGCTTTAGGGGGTGAGGTTTGCTTATGAAGTGATCCATGCAGGACCGTGAAACTCCAAGCTTTCAGAGTGGAGGAGGGCGCATCGGGAGATGGAGTTCGAGCTCCTGGTCTGTGTAGCTGGGCTTAGGAGTTCTATTTTAGGGGTGCCCAAGTGCCCCAAACTGGTACTGCATGTAAGGCTTCGGATGGTGATTTTAGAAGTTGTCCTTAATGTGATTCGGGGCACTGGGTTCTCGGGATATGGCGAAGATCGGGGCCAAGGACTCTGAAAAAACATGGGCGACGGCATGATTCGTGTCAGTGCCTCAAAAAACGAGACCCCGACCTAGCAGGCGACGGCAAGTAGTTAGAGGATTTTGGGTGCCTCGGTTGAAACCCGGCTGACTGGCTTCAAAGGCCCTGGCCTCGGGTCGCAGGCCCTCTGAGGCCTCGAACCCCCCCCTCTTTTTTCACAAGGGACTCGGCTGCTGCCCTTACTGCCCCCGTCAGACCTCAATCCTTAAAGCAGGCATGAAGCAGCCGAATCAAAAAGTGGAAGCCCTACACCTTCACCCCTCTACTCTAAGTACGGTAGATGCTTCTAGACAGGGGGAACCCCTCACCTGGCCCCAAGCCTCAGGACTTCGTCGTCGACTTTTTGCCTGGCCTCCTGGCGGGAAGGAGGGTGGTTTCGGGGCCTTTGGCGTTGAAGGTCTTGGGCTAAGCTCTTCGTGTGCCGCGCGCGCGACATGGCAAATCTCGAAAGCCTATTGAAAAACAGCATTGCGCACTGAATGTGCGTGCTAGCACAAGCACCTGAGAGCCCTCAGCATGTCCCGCAAGGAACATGACCACTAAAGCTCCTAAAGGTCTTGTGTGCAAAAACTTCGAGACCTCTCACCATGCGACAAAAACAGAGCAAACCAACGAGCGGCGTCAGGTGCGCGGTTCCGGGGTTCCGGTTGGGGGATTCAGGTTTAGGGATTCTTCCCCCTCCTACATAGCAATGACACGCCCGGCATTGCAGTTTAGTGGGTTTAGGGGTTTAGGGT